TTCTATGATTCTATGATATATTTATTGTTCCATGTTGCCTTCATACAAACAGCTGTTGAGTCGGGCTCTTAAATTTGTATGCGTTTTTCAGGTTGTGGAAAAGTTTCTGCATAGTTTTATTTTCTCCATTCTTGATGCACCTTAGCTTTTTCGGTGTGACTGAGTTTGTAGGAAGACATTTCTTCCAGCAAGAGTGCTGTGTGTGTTTCCATGTCTGGGCTGGAATTTACTTACAGTGCTTCCATTCTTTTTGCAGTGTTCCAGTATTCTGCTGGCACTGTTTTCAGCTTTGAGGGTTCAAGGAAGGAAGAGTTAAGTTTGTAGAGAAAGCCTAGTACAATTCCACTGTATTAGGACTCAGCTGTACAAGTGCCTGTGCAACCTGACCTAGTAGGACCTGCTTTTGATTGGACTGGGTGACACCCAAAAGTCCCTTCTGACTTGTATTATTCTACAGCTCTAGAGAAGCTGATAAGGATAAAGAAAGAGTAGAGACATTGGTGCATGCACATAAGCCATCAAGTTGTCAAGCTCAACTGTGTGGGATGTAGCTTTGGCACAATGCACTTCAGCAGTAGGATGACTTTGACAAATTCTGTTTTGGCTGTCCTGTGCCTAAGAACTTCAGCCTTTCTTGCCCTTAACTATAAGCTTTCCTTGGTAAAGTTGGTTTGGAAAAAGTGGCAAGAACATTTTATAAGTGTAAGGATCTGGATGCAACATTTGTATTGAAACAGAGAATGGAATTATTTTGATGTCAGATTAGGTTAGGAGACTTCTATCTGTCATGCCTGAATTGCAGATCTGTAGTTGAATGGTTGTGAAAAGTTCATATGCTATTATTCAGTTCTTCACAAATTGCTGAAAAATGTGTTACAGATACAAGTAAATAAGAAACTGGTGAGCATGACTTTGTCAGTATAAAATGTGGAATGAATGCTTAGTTATGCATATAAAGAACGTTCTTTAAAATGTGACTGCTTTTTACAAATCTTAACTAAATTTATGACTTGAATTTAAATATCTTTCTATATGCAGGCTGTTGAAATCAAAGACATTTCTCAAAAATTTAAACAAAAGCAAGATGCTTTGGAGATGAAAGATAAACAAGTAAGAGTCTTGATATTTTTGACTTTTTTTGTGTTTCTTTGGTAATGTATTTATTTGGTACTAGCTGTAGCATGTCTTGCGTTTAGGTGGAATGCTACTTCTTAAATTCTTCAGTAAAACATAGGTATGGGGTTTTTTGTCTGGTTTTCTGTTATCAGAGAGGGAAATTTCTCTGAAAAGGCTGGACATGCTTGCACACTTCACTGCCTCTAGTACTCAATGATCTTTAAAATGCCTGTTAGTCAAACAGGTATTACTAAGGAACAGGTGATTGCTGCATAAAATCAGTTACGTTGATGCAACAAATTTAGGAATAGGCTGTGTATATATATATATACACACACTGTATATTACAGGCTTTTCTTGAAAAGCTACAGCCTCTGTGGCACAGCAGTGCACTCAGCATTAAACATGCCCTCAAATATTCTGTGCAAAAGGCTAGTGTTACTGTTTCTGTGAAGTGTATACATCCGGCATTTTTTAAAAAGAAAACACAAAGATATATTGTAAAACAGTTACAGAACTTCATCTGAGTACTCAGTTAAGAAATGTATAAATTAAATGTGTAAGGCTGTATAGTCAATGTTGCACGTTGTGTTTATGCTATAGGTTTTATGCAGTGTTAGACAAACTTTCAAATGTGTTAATTAAGGAAGATCTTAAGCTTTAAGTTTCTGCTTTTATATGAATAAAGGAACTTCAAAAATTTATTTAAAGGCTTGATTGTCTTTTTGCTTACATGTTCCTAAATCTTAACAGAATCTTGTGAGTTCTTCAACTATCTTAGGGCTGTTGGTACTATAACAGACTCTTATGGTTTTAGAGCATGGTCACATCAGCATTTAATACCAATTGCACACATATCCTAGTTATTTGTCATAGGTTTTGTATACTACACTCCTTTAATGTTGGAAGTACTCAAAATTCTTAGATTGAAGAAATTCATCAAGCATTGAGAATGAAGAAAGATGAAGAAATGGACAGAAAAAGGAAAATACACAACACTCACAAGATGATAGAAGACTGGAAAAAGGAGCTTAATACAATGTTGGTCTGTGAGAATCTTCAGCTACAAACTGATGCTGTTAATAATGAGTTGAAAAAATTACAAGAAGAAAGGGCAAATATTGATAGCGATATCAATGATCTAACAGCAGAGAAAATGAACCAAGAGAGGGAAAAGAAAAGTAAGTTACTAAGGTTTTTGTTTGTTGATTTTTCTTTTTTAACTGACTTTACAGAATGTATTTGTTCTCCTGCTGTAGTGATATAATTTATGTTTACCTCAAGCCTCATAGCTGTAGATTACATTTATAGCAGTCCTTCTTTCTGTTACCAGTTCGATTAGAAGTAGCAGAAATCTCTTATAAAACAGAAAGAATAAGAAGCTTAAGAAATGGCAGTTGAACTTAAAAGTGCCCTTCTAAAAATTAGTTTCTGATCTCTGGTTAAGGAGACTGCTTTGCCAGTTTGATTTTCTTTTTCCTGTTATTAAATGAAGATGTGTACTATTAGCAGGATATAAAAATTAATCCTGAAGCAAAAGCAGTTTGCTTTGAAGATTGTTTATAATTACCTCTTTGGCAGTACATTGGTTAGTGATGCTGCTTTTGTCCTTTCTAGACGAACATGAGCTAATGTTAATTATATTAAATTCCTTTATACTTACTCAGGATTTACAATTAGTTCTTTCTAAGAAACAAAATTCAAAAATTATACCTTGGTGGGTAGGTGGTGCTCTATATATTCCTTGGTGAGTGTAGTACATGTGCACATACCTATCTGTCTAGCACTTAACTTGTCATAGTATCCAAGAAGAAACTGAGGTGTAGAGAGACCAAGTGATGCAGGGAAGGAGACACTATCTATTGCACCTTGAAAAAGCATAGAAAGTATTCAGTCTCTCTCCTGAATAGCAAATGCTTTCACACACAGTCTGATGTCACACATTTTGTTTGCTGCAAGCATAAAATAACTCTCAAGAGATTTCACGTTGCTAGTCCTACCACCTCTTTTCTCTTGGGGGATTTTTGGTTTTAAATACAAAAGTAGAACAAGTTTTGGAGAAAGAGATTTTTAGGACTAAATCCCTGTCTTTATTGTGCCACCACATTTCATTATCCTTTGGGTAAACCTTAATTTTCTTTTAGATTTTAAGCTTTAATAGTTCTTAAGTTTTCTTCAGAATAAGCAGCATCTTGCTTGTGGGAAGATAAACACTTAATTGCTATAATGTCCTAAAAACTTTATTGCTGGAGTAGTATAGTCAATAAATATTAGAAAATGCTATTTATAATGTGTATTTGCTATGGACTGTGTTTAAGAACCTGCCTTCAATTACAGGAATAATTAACCGCCTTGGACAACTTAATAATTTAATGAATATGAAGGAAGAGAATCTTAAAAGGAGATTCCAAGACACACACTCTGCTCTTATGTGGCTACGAAAAAACAAAGACAAGTTTAAAAACAAAGTTTGTGAACCCATGATGCTTGAAGTAAGAAAAATTAATTGCATGTCACTCTATGCAGTTAATGTTTAGTTTATGAATGACCTTAAGACTTCAAGACACATCTTGAAATGAACTGCCATTTAAATGCAGGATACATTAACATGCTGCACTATTTGTAATTTTAATTCTGTAGACGATGCAGTAATGCTCAACGTTGGGTAAGACAGGGTGGCTCCTTCCCCTTCCCTCCTCATGGAGTAGTCCTTTAATAAAGTGCTGTCATGCTGTAACTCCAGACAGTAACTAAGAATCACACAGTCACTCACTCACTCGCCTGAGTTGGGAAGAGGAAGAGAATCAAAAAAGTAAGAATGAGAAAACTTGTGGGTTGAGATAAAGACAGTTTGATAGGTAAAGCTAAAGCCACGCACAAGCAAAATAAGGAATTAATTCACCACTTCCCACTGACCGGCAGGTGTTCAGATATCTCCAAGAAAGCAGGGCTCCATTACCCGTAAGAGTTACTTGGGAAGAGAAACACCATCACCCCTTCCTTCTTCTTCCTCCAGCTTTACATGCTGAGCACTATGTCATATGGTATGGAATATCCCCTTGGTCAGTTGGGGTTAGCTGTCCCAGCTGTGTCCCCTCCTGACATCTTGTGCACCCCCAGCCTACTCACTGGTGTGGTGGCGTGAGAGGCAAGAAAGCCCTTGACACTCTGTAAGCACTGCTCAGAAATAACTGAAACTTCCATTTTTTAGCAGTGCTGTTTTCAACACAAATCCAAAATATAGCTCCATACAACTCTGTCCTATCCAAAAGCAACATAGGTGTACATCGCAGATTTTTTCTAAGTTACGTTCAGTTATTTAGACTTGAGTAGTTCTTATTTGATGCTTAGAAAAGCAGTGGTAGTTACAATTGAATTCCCCCTCCCTTATATCACAACCTTCTCAGCAATGGTTACAGTATATTACTGTGATCTCCAGGTGTTTTTGTGGTTTGCTTTGCACAGCCAGCTACAGGCATAGAAACATCTATTCTACCCCTAGTTTTGTTCTGAGTTTTGGTTCCCCAGACGCTGTATTAGATAGGAAGAGCAGGGCTAAATTTTCAGAGACTATTGTAGTTTTCTAGTGCAATCCTCCACCATATTGCGATATATATTCCGTGTAATGTCAAGAGGATGAAGAAAGAACTCTGTGCACTCCTCCTCTTCCTCTTCAAAATTGCAAGCTTATTTTAATAGCATATTGCTACAGTTTAAATTAGTAGAATGTTAAATATTTGTGTACCAATTCTTATGCTGTCTGCATGTGCTAGAACTATTCAAAATTACATTTATTTAGTATAAAATATAATATTTTTCACATTATTACCAGAACTTCAATTCTTCCTGGAAGATCACATCAAGTTAATTTTACAAATACTGCAATAGGATGCCTTTGCTTTTACTTTAAGGCCTCATTAACCTCTGTAACATCCACTAATGTCTGAATTTGTTTTCTTTAAAATCATGTAAGTTAGTCTCATGTACTTCTAGCTTTCAAATTGTTAGTAAGTGTACCCAGCCTTTGGCTAACTTGAGGTTATTAAATTGTGTAGTTCTGTGTAATTTTGCTTTTGTATGTCGTGTAGTGACATAATATCTAATTACTAGTGAGAGTTACTTAAGAATTCTAACATTAACATTTCATTCAGATATGAAACACAACATTAAACGTGGATTTTTCTTTTTCCTAAGAATTCTTGGAGAATTCAATCAATCTTTGAATACTTCTTTTTTCTAGGGCTTCACAATTCTGTATTTGTATTTGGTGACATTCATGATGTCCAAATCAAGGGGAACTGCATGTATAAATTTGTGGAGTTTGGTGTTTCCTAGTTTTGATTTCTTAGGTTCCGTGTTTCTAAACAGTAAGATATTTTTAGTAGTAATGTAGCAGAACCGCTAGGCATGCCATAGATAGTGGTGGTTGCAATTTTGAGGTTAGGGAGGAGCAGGAGGTGGTATGGTGGAAACAGTGATAGGTCCAGGAATCCTGAGAAAGGATATGACTGGCTAAATCTAAACACAATGACATGTGAGTTACTCTATGTTTCCTCCCAAAAGAATTGGTTGCAACAAAACAAGGAATATGTCTTTAAAGCATTTAAACTTTGTCTTCATTAAATGTAGGCTTGGATATCTTCTGACTGCTTAAAGTGTCGGGGGGGTTGCATTGGGGGGGGGGGAGGGTGAAATCCGATTGTATTAAATCACTTTCTCATTATCTTTCATTATTAGATCAATATGAAAGACAATAGACATGCTAAATATGTTGAAAATCACATTTCAGCCAATGACATGAGGGCTTTTGTTTTTGAGAGTCAAGAAGATATGGAAATGTTTCTTGTGGAGGCAAGTAGACACCAATTTAAAAAAAAGTTAAATACTGACGTATAAACACTGAACTTTGGAGTCAGCCAAGTAAGTCTGAATTTATTAAGTCTGATTGGCAATTTCAGCACAGTACTTAATACACGGTATTCAGTGGTTTTCTTCTAGATTTATGTTTTCTTCTGGAGTAGGATTGTTTTTAAAAGCCTAGGCCAACTGGAGGGATGCAATAATATTAAGCAAATATTTGGTTTTAGAAAATGGCAAGAACAGGAAGCAACAAATGTAGTACCAAGCATTTTGAATGCCTCTTAACTAAAGAGGCGAGTGAGCATCCTGTGTGAGAACGACTATGGTTCAAGCAGCAGATCAAGCTTATATTTTCTTAATACTGCCATTTCCTGGAGTGATAAGGAGATTGTTCCTTTTGAGAGCCAGGCAGATGATGTAGGACAAAAAAGCCACAAGCTATTTCACAGAATGGTAGGGGTTGGAAGGGACCTCTAGAGATCATCTAGTCCAACTCCCCTGCCAGAGCAGGATCACCTAGAGTAGATCACACAGGGACAAGTCGAGGCGGCTGTTGAACGTCTCCAGAGAAGGAGACTCCACCACCACTCTGGGCAGCCTGTTCCAGTGCTCTGGCCACGCTTTTTCTAATGCATTCCAGGATGCCATTGGCCTTCTTGGCCATGAGGGCACACTATTGGATCATGGCCATCCTGTTCTCCACTAGGACTCCAAGGTCCTTTTCCCCAGAGCTGCCCTCCAACAGAACAGCCCCCCAGCCTGTACTTATCCATGGGGTTGTTCTTCCCCAGATGCAGGACTTCACACTTGGCCTTACTGAATTCCAT